GTATACAACATACGAACAGATGAAGTATACAAAACAACAGAACATGAACACACAAAGCCAGGGGTAAAAAGAACAAAGTAACAATTATAAGAATACACGCAAAAATTCACATATACATATTGTTTTGAGAGCCTTTTTGTTGGTGGAGTCTGATATTGATCGTATGTACATTTCCACATCCTTAAAAAAAGACAGAAATATGGTATTTTGTTAGTAAACATTATTATTACATTACATTACATTTATGGATAAAAAATTTAGCTAAAAGTATTAACAAATTTATCATAAAAAAACATTTATCATACTTCTTGGCGAACTTAAAGAAACAGAATAAAACATTTTCCCATCGTAAAGAAAACTCCCTTAATAATAACAATATCAATATCAATAACAATAACAAACCTGCTAAATTCCTTCCAGAATCTCTGTGTAAAAGAACAGTACCAAAAAAGATGTTTCACAGTTTCTGGATGATCCCCACAGAAAGTACAATTAGTATTTATGTCCCTTTTAAATTTGACCATGTAGTGACTGGCTGGATAACATTTATGTAGAATTTTAAAAGAGACTTATTTCACCTTATTTACAATCAAATATTTATGGGGGACCACCCAGACTGTCTTCCACTTGATATCTGGAACATATCGGTTCCAATAAGATGTTATATATGGGAGAGAGACGATATCTTCTTGGAATAAACTACGTATTCTCTTATTGCTGTTACCAAGTTCCTATGAAAAGCAGATTTTTCCTATTGGTGACTCAGCTGGATCGGGGAGAGTGACTGAGGTAGATATTGAGCTGTCAGTGTTTTTATATAACATTAAAGTCCCTGAGGGTATGGCACCAAGCACCATTGAGAATTCCTGAACACTGATTGGAAAATTATATAGTGCAATAAAGTCGTTGTAAGTAAGTAGTTGTCCCTCTTTATTAACCAGCTGAGCCACCAATAGGATCCCATTTTGGAGCCAAGTTTCCAGGAAAAGTGATTTATTTTTCTATAAAATATCTCTGTTGTTCCAGATAAGGTATTTGTGAGGTGAGAAGTTGTGTTTATAAATGAGGGTCCACACTAAGAGGACCTGCTTATGGAAGGATGAAAGCTTTACAGGGAGTTTCTCAACATTGTAATTACAATTTCAAATAAAAGTAAAGCCACCAAAACGAGAGAAAATGTGGTATGGTATAAAGTTCCAGATAGAGGTAGTTTTTAAGAAAATGTTTAGCCCAATTAATTTTGAAAGTGTTATTTAAAGTAGAAAAGTCTAAGACGTTAAGCCCACCTGATTCGTACTTATTCATCACAACAGTTTTTCTAATATAGTGTGTACGGTTTTTCCATATAAAATTAAAGAGCATACGGTCAATATCTTTACTACTTTTCTTATCCAGATGTAAGGAGAGAGCAGCATATGTTCATCGGGATATCCCTTCAGCTTTAGTAATTAACACAAGTCCCTTTGCAGCCACTGGTTGAACTTTTTTAGGGTTTTCTGTATAATTGGAGTGAAGTTTGAAGAGCATCTTGATTTTTGGTCTTTGGATATTAACAGTCCCAAGTATGTGACTTCTTGTTTAACAGAAATATTACAGATAGTATTTGCAGGGCAGTCTTTAATTGCTAGTAACTCACACTTTTTTAGATTTAGGCATAAACCAGAGGCCTCAGAGAAATCACTAATTTAGTAAGAGCTGGAGGGATTTGGTTTGCATTCTTCAAGAAGAGTGTGGTGTCATCGGCTAACTGGCTGATGACGAGCTCCTTATCAGCTATGGTGATTCCTTGTACAACACTGTTTGAAATATTAGTTGCAACAATTTGTGTACAAAGTAAAAAAGTGTACTTCAATTGCGTACTCCAAATGTATGTATGTGTATAAATGTATGTGTGTGTATATGTATGTATATGTGTGTGTGTGTGTGTGTGTGTGTATATTTGTGAGACTGGTAAACTTACCTTTGTTCGTACGATGGTCTTTCGTTCTACACGGTGCATTTCAAGGTCCTGTACCCATCCGTCGGTAAACTGTACCTGGGCTTGTTGCAGTGACCTGACGTTACTAAACTTCATGAGTGTATGCACTCACTCCAAGAACCGTATCATTATAAATCTGAGCGTGGTGAAGTTGGGCAGCACGCTAACGTCTTTTGTCCACTCTGTGTGCTCGTAAGGGTCTGACCCTTTCACTCTGATTTTTTTTCCTCGTATCTTTGACTTTTCATCAAGTCTGTCTTTGTACGGAGCGACATTGTTCTCCTTCGTTTTGTACATAATTTTTTGGGGGAACAAAGAAAAAGCAAGAAGGTATTGGAACCGCAGAAAGAACGTTTTGCGGTGCTGCAAATGCTTGCATTTGATGCATTGGTTTGATTGTTTTGCCACGAGTTCCCGGCATGCAATGTGCGAAAGTCACGTGGTCTGTCAGTCTCTATTGGGACACAACCTGTTTGTATGTCATGGAGGCCGAGTAAACTGGATACGCACTCCATGCGCAGCGAATTGTATGGTGGCGCTGAGAGGCCAAACGAACTGCAACTGAAGAAAACACCAGCACAACAAAAGCACAAGGGAAGTGTTTCTGAGGAGACAATAACCCGACGGACCAGTTGCAGGAACCCAAAACATTTTTTTAAAATTATTGTTGTCAAACAAAATACTAATTACAGCGCTTATTTTACATGTCTACAAAAATTATATACAGGTATAAGCAGTTAAGAACAGAGGCGGAGTCAGACATTTTATACACCCCAGGCTTAGCCCTAAACGGTAGTTTGCGTGTGTGTGTGTGTGGGGGGGGGGGGGGGGGGGGGGGGTGAAATGACTGAAAGATTTATTAGGCTGTGTTTTGAGTTTTGTTCAAAAAAGAATGACTTCATATAGGAAAAAAAAAGTATCACATATGCAGGACACCTTAAACTAGTTTTTTTTATTAAGCAGCAAGGCAGAACAAAATCAGGGCTGTATCAAGACACGAGAACTAAACCACAATTCAACCAGACCCAGAACTGATCCGGAATTAAAACAGGACTACAACAGTTCAATATCAGGACTACTGAGGATTTAACCAAGACAGAACCAGAATCAAAATGTATTTATATAGCACATTTCACAGATAAAAATCACAAAGTGCTTTACAATAAGATCAGACAACAAGTTAAAATTAATTAAAAGCCTGTATGTATAAAAATGTCTTCAGCTGGAGCTTCACCGTGCAGAGCTCTAAAAGTTACAACTAAAATTTTAAAGTGAAACCTAAAATTTCCTGGCAACCATTGAAGAGAAGGCAAAACTGGAGTAATGTGTGACCTCTTGTTTGTACCAGTTAAAAGTCTTGCCACTGCATTCTGTACAGACTGAAGGCGATCCAAAGCTGCTTTGTTGTAACAAGTAAAAAGACTGTTACAATGATTCAAACGGGAAGAGATGAAAGCATGAATAATCATCTCAAGTTCTGCCTTTGACACCAGTTTGAGTTTAGAAATGTTTCTTAGATGATAAAAACAGTTCCAGACAAGTTGTTTAGAGTGTTTCTCAAGAGACATCGAACTGAATATAACACCCAAGTTTCTGAGACTCGACTGAAATGAAGGGTCTAAAAAATTGATATGCTGCTTAATTTCTGAGAGCATGTGATCAGGTGCAATAAGCAAAGTTTCTGTTTTATGTGTATTTAACTTGAGGAAATTGCCATTTAACCATTGCTTGATTCCTGACAGACAATTATTTAAACAAGACAATTTATAAAACTCGGAAGGTTTGAAAGAACAGTATAACTGAATTTTATCCGCATAGATATGATAAGAAATATTATTGTTACGTCTGATAATGTGGCCTAGAGCTCAGCAGCAGTGTTACAGGAAGCGTCATCAATATGAAGGTTTAAGTCTCCCAATATTACAACCTTCTCCAGTTTAATGATCGATGTCAGAAGGTCGTTAAATTCAGTTAGAAAGACCCCAGCAGGTCCAGGAGGTCGATAGATTAAAATACAGTAAAAGGTTTTCAGAGAACCGACCTTCATCATCTGTGACTCAAATGAAGAAAATAAGTCCGAGGTCACCAGTTTGCATATGAGTCTGTCCTGGTAAACAGCAGCAACAAACTGTTCCAACTTCTGCAATCTGGTAGAAGGTTCCGCATCTTCCGGGAAAGGACAGAGAGACTCAAGAGGAGCTTCTATCCCCAAGCCATCCGTGCCCTAAACACACACACCCGCCCTCTCACATCATCTATAATTGACTGAGACAGGACTCTTCCAGACACTAAACCAAGGCACAATGTACATTTCAATTCCTTTAATTTTAAATATGTTTATATTGTCTATCCTGTAAAATAGTCAGATTCTATTCATATTAATGTACAGAATTCACCTGCTTGCTGCTACTACTGCACATTCACCCAATGTATATACTATATGTATATATATATATATATATATATACATAATGTTCTTCCTCTACACCCCCCCCCATTTTTGCACATGTCGAGGAGCGTGTCAGGCTACATTTCACTGTGTGTTATACTTGTATAACTATGCATGTGACAAATAAAGAACCTTGAACTCTTAACTTGCAAGTACAGATTTTGACCAGATTTTTCTTCCTTTCAGCAAGGTCTTTGTCATGTCAATCACAAATATAACAATCAAATCAGAGAACAGATGGGTTTGGCTATCAAGGGGTGCTTAACAAAAACAAAAAACATTTGTAACTTGTGTAAATATTTTTTACAAACTCACAAATGCTCACCTGTAGATGCACAAACATAACATTTTCAGATATTTTGGTTTATAAGGTTACAACACTCAGTTCACAACTACACATTTGCTTTACAAGTACAAAGTATTTATGACCACAGTTTGAGCCCATACTGATTTCGCTGCGTTCTCCCGTTCTCGGCAAGTCCGGAATCTCGTGTGATCTGGCGAAGTATGAAGCAGCAGGAAAGCGAGTACGGACTGGTTTCGAGAAACGGCCAGCTTGTGTGTGGGATGAGGGGGAGGGGCTGCTCTGGTAAACAGGAAACTGAAAGTACTCAGAAATTTCAGACTCCATTTTACAGTCACGAAGCAGGAGCAGGAAAAAAAGTAGGTATTATTCTGAATTTCTGTGGGATTGGAATAATCTGAAGAAATAATTTTTGATAGGAAAAGTCGCGTGACCGTTTCTCAGGTCAGAACCAGAACTCTAAAGGTAACTTTGGTACATTTTTCAACATGTGTTTGCGACGTCATATAGCTATAAACATGGCGGATGAAAAAAAAAATTTAGTCGATGGTTAGTACAACATTTTCTTTTTCTGCAAAAGCCGCGCTCTTTTGTGGACTGTGAGAGAAATAAAAGTCTGTTTATAAGGTGAAGTGCTCATTACAGTCGGGACTGTGGACTATGTTTCTGTTCTAGTTCCGGTTCTGCCAGTTCTGGGTGTGACTCCTGTTCAGATATGCTTTACATAATTTTGTTGTGCACTAACAGCCAGTGTTGCTCGTTTATCTCTCAGACAGGCTTAAGATGAGTGATTTGGAGGAGGAGAAGGACAGAGCAGAGTCTCCAGGATCCAGCTGCATGTCTCTGAAGAGTGACTGGTCCAAAGAACCCTCTCCAGCCTTCAGTATTGACCCGGACACCTCAGATACAAAGTAAGAGACTATTTCTGTTGTAAAGGTGGTTCATTAAAATGCATCAGAGTATCAGAGTTTGGATGATAAAGACTTAAGTGCATAAAGAATTGTTCTATATCATTATATTAATGCTGCTATCCTGTATATATTGTACATACTATTGTTTGAGTACTTACGATTGTATTTTTTGTACTTTTTATATTTTACATTTATATTTATTATTGAAACTTGCACCAAGGGAGTGGCACTCCAATTTCGTTGTACTCTGTACAATGACAATAAAGGCTATTCTATTCTATTCTATTCTATTCTATTCTATTCTATATCAAATTTTTACTAAATTTTCTGCTCAACCAACTCCAGCTTGTCTGAAAATAATATGGTCCAAATGATCAACTGTCAAGTTCACTTCATAAATCAAATACTTTTATACATATTTTTAAAAAAGGCCTGTCCACTGTCTTTTAGGGATAACAGCCTGAAAGTTACATGCCCAAATACACCTTAATATATTTTAAAATGACAAATATGCATATATTTAATAAAATTAGTTCCTTAGCTAAAATTGGAGTACCTTTGGAAATGCCAGAATTTTTTTCTATATGGATTAGATTATCTACTAATACTTTGGTTTTGTGGTATAACTTGATGAAAATAGCATTTCTTCATTTTTGTGTGTAATAAAGTCATGTTAAAAAGTATTAAACATGTTTTAGTTTGCATTACTGTGTAATATAACAAAAATATAATTTTCACTAGTTGTCTTTTGCAATAACTTGTAGCCCCAGCAATTAAAGGCTTATGGGGTATTGCCATCACCCTGACGGGCCAGTGGCGTGGATACCCAAGTTTGTGAGTGTAATAACTGCGTAGGATTTTCAAATCCGTACCATGGTGCACCTAGTAAAAATCTCAGTCAAGCTTGAATCTCAGTCACCTCTGACCTTGAACTCCGATGATTTTAACTAGCCAACACTTTTTTTGATGCATGTATTCCAAATTACAGATCCGGATTCATTTTTATGGTACAAGAGGTCAGTGAAAATTTCAGTATCTTTATTTTTTGAGATATTCATGTTCAAACATTGCCTCTGATTTCAGTGTGTGAAATAAAAACAAAAAAAAAAGATACTGGAAATGGGTCAGTGGCCATTTTCCCCCAAAAATCTATCTTGAAAAAAAAAATTGATATATGAAGCTAAAATTTCACTGTAATCATATACATTGTCCTCTATAATATCTGGGATAACGACACATTTTTTTTTTTTTTACATTAACCGGTTTGTTTACATATTCAACTCTCCGTGTTCCACATGTTGCATTCGCAGAGATAATTAATTAAATCTGGCAAAATATCCATCCATCCATCCATCTTCTTCTGCTTTATCTGGGCCGGGTCACGGGGGCAGCAGCCTAAGCAGAGAAGCCCAGACACCTCCTCCAGCTTATCCGGGGAACACCAAGGCGTTCTCATGCCAGCTGAGAGAGATAATCTCTCCAGCGTGTCCTGGGTCTGTCCTGGGGCCTCCTCCCAGTGGGACATGCCCAGAACACCTCACCCAGGAGGTGCCGAGGAGGCATCCTTGTCAGATGCCCGAACCACCTCAGCTGGCTCCTTTCGATGTGGAGGAGCAGCGGCTCTACTCTGAGCCCCTCCCGGATGGCTGAACTTCTAAGGGAGAGGCCAGCCACCCTTCGGAGGAAGCTCATTTCTGCCACTGCAGCCGCAGCACCAATCCGTCTATCGATCTCCGGCTCCCTTCTCCCATCACTCGCGAACAAGACCCTGAGATACTTGAACACTTGGGGCAGGAGCTCATCCCCGACCCGGAGTGGGCACTCCACCCTTTTCCGGCTGAGAACCATGGCCTCAATTTGAAGGTGCTGATCCTCATTCCCGCTGCTTCACACTCGGCTGCAAACCGTTCCAGTGCGACCTGTAGGCCATCACTCGATGAAGCCAACAGAACCACATCATCCGCAAAAAGCAGAGATGAAATTCTGAGGCCACCGAAGTGAAAGCCCTCCGCCACTTGGCTCCGCCTAGAAATCCTGTCCATAAAAATTATGAACAGAATCGGTGACAAAGGGCAGCCCTGGCGGAGCCCATCACCCACCGGGAACGAGTCCGACTTATTACTGGCAATGCGAACCAAGCTCTTGTACAGGGATCGAATGGCCCGTAGCAATGGCCAGACACCCCATACTCCCGCTGCACCTCCCACAGGACAACCCGAGGGACACGGTCGAATGCCTTCTCCAAGTCCACAAAACACATGTAGACTGGTTGGGCAAACTCCCACGCACCCTCAAGTATCCTTGAGAGGATAAAGAGCTGGTCCAGTGTTCCGCGACCAGGACGAAAACCGCATTGTTCCTCCTGTATCTGAGGTTCAACTAGCAGACTTTCCCAGGGAGGCTGAGGAGTGTGAACCCCCTGTAGTTGGAACACACCCTCTGGTCCCCCTTCTTAAAGATGGGGACCACCACCCCGGTCTGCCAGTCCAGGGGTACTTCCCCTGATCTCCACGCAACATTGCAGAGGCATGTCAACCAGCAAACCCCTACAACGTCCAGAGCCTTCAGGAACTTGGGGCAGAGCTCATCCACACCAGGGGCTCTGCCACCAAGGAGTTGTTTAACTGCCTCAGTGACCTCGCCCCCAGAGATTGGTGTGTCATCCCCATCATCCCCAGACTCTGCTTCCTCCTCGGAAGACGTGTCAGTGGGATTAAGGAGGTCCTCGAAGTATTCCTTCCACCGCCTGACAATTTTCTCAGTTGAAGTCAGCAGTGCTCCGCCAGCACTATACACAGTGCAGAGGTAGAGCACCGCTTTCCCCTCCTGAGTTGCTGACGGTTTGCCAGAATCTCCTCGAGGCAGTCCGAAAGTCTTTTTCCATGGCCTCTCCAAACTCCTCCCACACCTGAGTTTTTGCTTCAGCCACTGCCCGAGCCGCATTCCACTTGGCCTGTCGGTACCTATCAGTTGCCTCCAAAATCTCACAGGCTAACCAAGCCCGATAGGACTCCTTCAGCCTGGTGGCTCCCTTCACCTCTGGTGTCCACCATTTGGTTCGGGGATTACCACCACGACAGGCACCAACCACCTTGCGGCCACAGCCCAATGCAGCAGCTTCGGCAATGGAGATGCTGAACATGGTCCATTCGGACTCAATGTCCCCAGTCTCCCTCGGAATGCTGTTGAAGCTCTGCCGGAGGTGTGCGTTGAAGATCTTGCGGACTGGGGCCTCTGCTAGGCGTTCCCAGCGCACCCTCACCAGCACACCTTTACTACGTGTTGCACCGGGTCTGTCCAGCGTCCTCCCCCGCCACCTGATCCAACTCACCACCAGGTGTTGATCAGTTGACAGCTCAGCCCCTCTCTTTACCCGAGTGTCCAGAACATATGGTCACAGGTCTGGTGATACAATTACAAAATTGATCATCGACCCGCAGCCTAGAGCGTCCTGGTGCCACGTGCACTTATGGACACTCTTATGTTCGAACAGGGTGTTCGTTATGGCCAAACTGTGATTTGCACAGAAGTCCAATAACAAAACACCGCTCGGGTTCAGATCGGGGAGGCCTTTCCTCCCAATCATGCCCATCCAGGTCTCGCTGTCGTTACCCACATCAGCATTGAAGTCTCCCAGCAGGACAACAGAGTCTCCAGGTGGAGCACCTTCCAGCACCCCACCCAGGACTCTTAGAAGGCTTGGTACTCTGAACTGCCACTCGGCGCTTAAGCGCAGATGACAGTCAGGACCCATTCCCCGACCCTAAGGCCCAGGGAACAAACCCTCTCATCCACCAGGAGGAACCCCAACGTACCGGCAGCAAGCCAAGGGGATATTAGAATACCCACCCCAGCCCGCTGCCTCTCACCAGAGGCAACTCCAGACTGAGACAGAGTCCAGCCCCTCTCCAGGAGACTGGTTCCAGAGCCCAAGCCATGTGTAGAGGTGAGCCCGACTACATCTAGCCGGTACCTCTCAACTTCACGCACAAACGCGGGTTTCTTACCCACCAGAGTGGTGATATTTCATGTCCCGATTGCCTGTCTTGGTAGCCGGGGATCAGTCCGCCAGGGCCTCAGCTCATGGCCGCCACCAAGCACACAATGCACCCGACACCTACGGTGCCTCCTGCGGGTGGTGGGCCTGCGGGAGGATGGGCCCGTGTCTCCTCTTTGGGCTGTGCCCAGCCGGGCCCCATGGACTAAGGCCCAGCCACCAGACGCTCGCCCTCGGGCACCCTCCCCTGGGCCTGGCTCCAGGGCGGGGCCCCGGTAACCCTATCCCGGGCAGGGTAAACTGTTCCCTTGATTTTCTCATAAGGGTCAAAATATTTATCTAATTAATTAATTACCATTTTAATTATTTACAACTTTAATTAATTATTGCCACATATAATTAATTATTTAATGGTGCATTTAATTAATTCATTATGGCAGTCCTTTTTTTTTTTTTTTTTTTTTTTACAAAAATACATACACGAAATGTAGTCATTGTTATACACAGTCACCCATTCTCAGAGAAATTGAAATTAATGGACAAACTAACATAACATAAACCATCATCTCTGTGAGCCTTTAAATTACATTAAAATTATAGTGAAAAGCTTCATAATGCAAATGGAACACTTTGAATCAACTTCAGATATTAGCTTTGCTTCATTTTTCATGAAATAACAAGAGAACATGCCTCACCTGGCTTATCAGTCAATCGACCTGTTAATTTTGAACTTCTGAAAATGGAGGGCTGAGTATAAAAATAGCTGTAATCCAAACCCGTTCGTGAAAATGTTTTGTAAAACCCCGTGAATTAAAGATGGAAGTCTGCAATTCAATTACATACTAATTGTTTGATTTACAATTAATTACTCAAAAAGCAAAACAATAAACTCAAGATTAACAAAAGTCTAGAAATATTTTAAAAAACAACAAAAGAAAAAAAAAAGGGGGTAGCAAGGTGAACAGATGTCAGTATTATAAAGCAGCATTTCATCTTATCCAGATAACTAGATAGGACACATAGGACACCTTTTTAAACTTAGTGATCTTACGTCAAGTTTGCATGTAAACTAAGGCTCTATTTGTTTTTACTCAGGCCCCGTCTTATCTTAATGACCTTATAGTACCATATCACCCCTCAACTGGTCGTCGCAGACGGCTGCCCCTCCCTAAGCCTGGTTCTGCCAGGTGTTTCTTCCTATTAAAAGTGAGTTTTTCTTTTAGACTGTCACGAAAGTGTTTGCTCATAGGGGTTTTGGATCCAGTTCCTTGGATTCATTAGTCTTCCTTCCGCTTATTGGTTTTTGCACTCTTACTACAGTCAGCAGATTTGAGTTTGTGTGTCGGAAGTGAAAAATAGTGACTTGTTCAGATTAAATAGAACAAGATACAAAGCATTAAAACATGTTAAAAAGAGAACAACCTTGATAAGCACAGAGTAGTTTGGACTTGGAAGCAGGTTTCATCGGGTCATCACTTATAAGATAAGATTAAATACAGTTGCCCTACCTCCACCCTGATTGAAGGTTATGTTTGACAGCCTGTGGGTAAAAACTTCTATTGAGTCTGTTTGTCTTTGTCCTGATGGACATATTGGGGGTGACCGTGGTTCAGGGGGGTTGGGAAGCTCATCTTGTAACCGGAAGGTTACCTGTTCGATCCCCTGCTCTGTCTGTCTCGGTCGTTGTGTCCATGGGCAAGACACTTCACCTAACGCCTACTGGTGATGGCCAGAGGGGCCGCTGGCGCGATATGGCAGCTTTGCTTCTGTCAGTCTGCCCCAGGGCAGCTGTGGCTACAACTGTAGCTGCCTCCACCAGTGTGTGAATGTGAGAGTGAATGAATAGTGGCATTGTAAAGCGCTTTGAGGGCCTCGAAAAGCGCTATATAAATGCAATCCATTATTATTATTGTTGTTATTATTATATTGATTACCAGAGGGAAGGGGGCGGTGTCCAGGGTGTAAGGGGTACTTGATGATGAAGCTGGCTTTCGGCTGAAGTCTGCCAGTATAAATGTGTCTGAGGGGGGTTAGTGAAGTGCCAATTGATTGTTCTGCCGCCCTCACTACCCGCTGCAGTTTTCTCTTGTCCTCCACAGTAGTTGAACCAGAGTGTACAGCAGTAGGTCAGAAGTCTCTCGATGGTGGAGCGGCAGATGTTGATTAGCAGTCTTTGGGGTAATTGGATTAAATAATACAATTACAGGAGAAGCCATAGTGCTTCTCTTGGTAAAGGAAATGTGTTTAGCAGAACAAAGCTTGCTACCTACTGCAGTTTTATTGCTGTTGTAAAATGCAGTGTACAGAGAATACTGGTGATAGCCTTTTTTTTTTTTTTTTAAATAGAAACTAGTTGCAAAAATGCACCTGACTGCAGGTACGTATTACTCTGCGATAAGTTTGATGTGTCACATGGCCCTCTTCCTATTGAAAAAACAAAAGTTTTATCCAAGATGGCCGACAACAGGAATATGCAGAAGAACGATATGTGATTCATTCTGTGTTTGTATTTTCAGAGGTCAGCAGCACAGACAGAAAGCAGGGCCTCCAGGATCCAGCCGTCTGTCTATGAGGAGTGACTTGTCCATAGAACCCCTCCAGCCTTCCATATCGACCGTGAACTCTCAAACACAAAGTAAGAGACTGGTTGTACTAACCTTACCTAGGCTTATTTCAGAAAGGAGATTGAGTTGAAAACAGTGGTGTGCGTGCCGGAATTTGCAAACCACTGGTCTAGCCTACGACACGCCAGTTCTGTTGCTTATCAACCACGAAATATGGTGCTACAGCTGTGGTTCAGCAGAAATAGAGAAAATCTTGATTTTATATCATTTGATTAACTTTTACTGGATATACTGTAATTCACTTAAGATGTTGAGGACATCAGAGCATTAAACAGGCTGATGTTTGGGCAAGAGGGTCTAACAGGAGAGAGATGATACAGAAACATGACATCCTTATAAGATACTGACACACTTTATGAATCTACAACTTTTGACAGCTCTTTAAACCTTTTACTTAAATGACCTGCATACTTTTCCTACTCAATCCCACTGATGAAAACAATATTTTAACTAAATATAATTGGGATAAATCAAAGCATTATCAAAGTTTTCTGTGGTTCCCTTTATTTCTCCTTCTTGTCCTGCAGGATAAACATCAGTGTAGGGCAGGGCAATATGGCCAAAAATATTTATCACGATATACATTTGAAAATTTGCGATAACCTACGATATAACTGACGATATAATTGACACTAGACAAAATACTTTGCAACTCCACAACTTTATTAGTGCAAAACCCCCCCCATGAATGTATTTTTAAACAAGCAGCTGTTTTTTATGTGCTTAAAGCATATAAAAATGTAAGAGTGCAAATGCAAATTCCTTGCTGAATGTTTAACCAAAAGGCATTTCCAGTGGAAATGGGCCAACATATCCTGAGCATAACCATGTATAATATCCACAAAACCTAAAAAGAGGTTATGCACACACGGTATGGTAATATTATATTGAAGCACAGTACGTATTACTCTGCGATAAGTTTGATGTGTCACATGGCCCTCTTCCTATTGAAAAAACAAAAGTTGTATCCAAGATGGCCGACTTCTAAATGGCCACCATGGTCACCACCCATCTTGAGGAGTTTGCCCCCTCACATGTACGAATGTGCCACAAACAGGACTTTAATATCACCAACCATTCCCTGTTATCACGGTGTATCCATATAAATGGCCCACCCTGTCTAACTTTAATCTCAGCCAAACCGATTTATTCAGGAACAAATAAAACAATGAAAAAAGCCAAACAATAAAATGTTAAGTTATCTAAGTGACTTATATATTATGTTTATACTGAGTAGCGAAAGACCGCGGGGGTTTGAAAACGATATGCCGGGAGTTGAACCTTGACCTCCCAGTCAGCTCGTCCCCGAAAACGTCGGAGCACTTTTACAAATATGTGATGTCTGTGATGTAAATCGAGCAGGTATTTGAAGTTTACACGGTTACATTCTCGCTGAAAATACCTGAAAACTTTATTTTGTGACCAAGAAAGAGTAATAATAACCCTCTTAGGCTCAAATTAAGTTTTCGTTGCTAATGCACAAAAGAATACTTGCAGTGGTACTTCTGAGTAAAAAAAACTCATAAAATATGTATGTGGGGTAATCAGGTTGTTAGCTTTTAACTGTTGCAAATCTGCAACGCCTGCCTTGAGAGGGTTAAAACTAAGTAGGTGCCACCATTGTCGGAAACTGGAATTGGCTGAGCTGCGCTATGAATTCTGGGATAGGTTGGGCCATGAAGGATACACCCGGCCCATCCTTCAAATCTGGGGAAATGAAGGACGCATTTGTCAGCCGCATTTAGGGAAGTTTCGCATTTAGCGAGTTTGGACAACCTTGGCCGCATCGCCCTAACGTAATCGGCCTACTAATGCGCCCGTAAATTTGGGCACAGTCACGATACCGGATGCTGCTGCTTCTTCTTCTTTGGCTTTTAACGGCAGCTGGCATCCTTGTACATGCATTGCTGCCATCTTCTGTTTTAGTCCGTTACTACACTCTTAAATCCCAATACTTATTCCTGCTTCTTTCAGGATCTTACGAAGCTTCAAACAATGCGTCGACTATTAAATTAGTCGTTGATGATTTTGATAGTCGATGTAATCGTGACTAGTTGACTAATCGTGTCAGCCCTAGGTTAGACCACGATATGGGCATAATTTGTGCCTGCTGTCAACCACACAGACTTTCAGAGTTGCAGAGACTTTTTAAAAAATGTACTTGAATGGCTGGTCGCACCGGTGCAACCTAGGATTTATTTTGTTTTTTAGTCGCACCATTGAGAAATTAGGTCACATGTGCGAGCCCTGCTGGGTTTTCTCCAATAAAGTTTTTGAAAGACTAAGAAATGCCCTCTCCTTGCGTGTGTTCTTTAATGGGCAATATTGTTAACAGCTCCTCTTTTGCAGTCATATCAGTAAACATCATCTAAATAAAAACGCACAATTTTTATTTACAATGTTACAATGTTTATCTCAACTACTTTGGTTGTGCAGTTTTTCAGCTAATGTCTCCAGCATAGCACACAAAGAAAACAGAGCACACCTTCTGCAAAGGGAAGGCATGATTTGATCAACCTGCTGCTCCACCCCTCCCCTGGAGCTGAGCAACAGACCACACCCCGCCACATACCCCTATAGAGTTGGGTGACTATCGATGATAGGCAGAGCCCATCGTTGATCGTTTGTAAAAGGGTGATTTTATTAATTTATTTGCCCATGAGTAAGTTTGCTAATAATGAGGGAGCTAATAGAAGAAGTCAACAGAAAAAACAATTGCACCGTTTTAACAGCACCCTCTTTCACCTGCGAGCAAATGCCCCCTCCTCAGTGTGCGCCCAAATGCTTGTTGATGGAGCTGCAGAAGCTGGTGATAGCATAGCATACTCAGCCGGATGGTGGACACGTTCATGCTCATGTAAGTTAGTCGTGTTTGAGTACTTTGCTGGCACTATACGTCCGCACAAGCGGCACACCATTTTGGTTACATCCTTCGGTTTACCGCTTTGATCTGGTTTAAAGCCAAAGAAATCCCAAATTGGTGACGTAAAATTTTTTAGTGCCGTCAGCGTTAACGTGCCGTCATCACGACTAACGAAAATTAACAATTAACCCATCTGGAGCGCAGACGGAGTCAAAGTCCCTGAAATGTCTCAGTCAGTGCTTTTTGGAAAGTTTGTCCAAAGTTTGTTCATTCTGCTCTTTTGAGTTGGGTTGCACGTGTTAAAAATTTTAATCGCGTTAATCGTGTTTTCAGCTAACTGTGTGCCACATACTTTGTATTTCACATTTGTTGATTTATTTAAATACTTTCCTCCTGAAAGCAAAACTCCTGCATTTGGGACATATGTGTTTTCTGTTCTCTCAGTGCATTACCCTGAGCTGCTGACACAGTAGCTCAGTGCCCAACAACAGGAATATGCAGAAGAACGATATGTGATTCATTCTGTGTTTGTATTTCAGAGGTCAGCAGCACAGACAGAAAGCAGGGCCTCCAGGATCCAGCCGTCTGTCTATGAGGAGTGACTTGTCCATAGAACCCCCTCCAGCCTTCCATATCGACCGTGAACTCTCAAACACAAAGTAAGAGACTGGTTGTACTAACCTTACCTAGGCTTATTTCAGAAAGGAGATTGAGTTGAAAACAGTGGTGTGCGTACCGGAATTTGCAAACCACTGGTCTAGCCTACGACACGCCAGTTCTGTTGCTTATCAACCACGAAATATGGTGCTACAGCTGTGGTTCGGCAGAAATAGAGAAAATCTTGATTTTATATCATTTGATTAACTTTTACTGGATGTAGAGGCTAAGCCTACGCTTGAAGCCACTGAGGTGGTCGTTAACGGGGTGACGCGATGTCACTGGTATGCATGAATGTTCACAGTCCAATAAATCCAGCAGTATGTATCTTGTCATTTTTGGTCTTTATTCCGTATCGACATAGCATAACAGCGCAACGGTCACAAACTGTTTGCCTTCTCAATGACACACCTGACGCCGATTACGTGCGTCTACCTTAAATACCTTTACATTACATAATCAAAACAGAAAAAGGTAACCTCTAGTGACCACATAAGGTATTAACCCAAGAATGGCTCCTACACCCCGGCCCCTAATTGAAATGGCTATCAGACATGGCAATTCTAATCACAAAGAAAATAAGGAGCCACTAATAGAGTCTACTTTAGACCTATACATTCACATAAATAAACATAAGTAACACACTTTTAGATTACAGTCTCATGTAACAAGCAAAGTTTGGTTACAGGTCTTTCCAGAATATTAGTCTTTGTTTTTAAACGTGCAGATCGCACGAGTCCTTTTTTGTCACAAATGGCTTCCAGAACTCTTCCAAGTGGCCAGGAACCACGCGGTGCAGAAGAATCCATTATAATGACTATATCTCCAGGTTTTAGATTCTTCTTCTTTTGGTTCCATTTTTGTCTCTCCTGTAACAAAGGCAGGTATTCGCGTATCCATCGTTTGCAAAAAAGATCTGAGATGTACTGAGCCTGTTTCCATCTTCTCTTCAGATACATATCCTGAGGGTCAAATAGTCCGGGTGGTAAAGATTGTTTTCCTTTCATCAGGAGGATGTGATTTGGTGTAAGTGGCTTTAGGTCTTTTGGATCATCAGAAAGCTTTGTGATGGGTCTGTCATTTAAAATTGCTTCAATTTCACATAGAACCGTATTTAATCCATCGTCGTCCAACTGTTGTTGCTGAAGAACGGATCTCAGAATCTTTCTGATCATACGAATTATCCGTTCCCAAATTCCACCATGATGTGATGCTCCAGGCGGATTAAAACTCCATCTTATTCCAATGTGTCGCAAAGCATCCGCTATTTGGGTATGTTTCAGCGATTCAAGAGCCTCCCTTAACTCTCTGTCTGCTCCGACAAAGTTGGTTCCATTGTCCGATTGGATGTGAGCGACTTGACCTCTTCGACTCACAAAACGACGCAAAGCATTAATGCAGGCATCTGTGTTTAGAGAGCTAGCCACTTCCAAGTGCACTGCTCGGCTGGCTAAACAGGTGAAAATGACTCCATAGCGTTTAGCTGTACCTCGTCCTCTTTTCACTTCAATAGGTCCGAAGTAATCAACCCCGACATTGGTGAATGGTGGGTTATCTGGCAAGATTCTTTCCTTGAGTAAATCTGCCATCTTTTGCTCCAAGGCTTTTCCATGATATTTCCTGCAAAAATTACATTCTGCGATAACCTTCCTTACAGCTGAGTTGGCCTTTGTGATCCAGTATCTTCTCCTTAGTGTGGATAAGGTGTGGTTACGACCGCTATGACCAAGCTGTTGATGAATGTGCTTTAGGATGAGACTTGCTACATGTTGATCCTTTGCAAGAACAAAGGGATGCTTTATTTCTTCTGGTAAGGAGCCCTTTGTCAGTCGTCCCCAACTCTTAAGAGGCCTTTATCGTCAAGATAAGGATCTAATCTATAAATTGAGCTGTGCCTGCTCACAGAACCTTTCCCACTTGACAACGTAGCAACCTCCTCTCCAAATCGTTGTTGCTGGCAAAATCTAATAATGGCAAGCTCAGCTTCCAGAAGATCCTTTGAAGATAGTCTGTACAGTTGCGTTTTCTTTACTTTCTCCTTTGTAGTACCTTTACAAATTGGGTTATCTGAGTAAGGTTGCGGTCTTTTTTTCTTATTTCTCATTGAACGAAGGATTTCCTTCAGTCTAAGGAACCAAGCAACAGCAACCTTGAGCCTTCTCCAGTCTGAGAAGTACACCATCAATTGACATGTAGCATCTAGCAAGTCTTTTACCTGAGTAACATTTACTGTGGCCTCACCTTTGACTTCAGGGTCCTCTGGTTCTAAGGAGCATTCCATTAAATTGGTTGGCCAATCACTTTCCGGCTTCTGCAGAAAGCTTGGTCCTTCGATCCAGCGGCTGCTATGAACAACGTTCCCAGCCTTGAGCCCTCTTGTAGCATCATCTGCTGGATTTTCCTTTGAGGTTACATATCTCCATTGTGATTGTTTAGTTGCAGTTGTAATGAATGAGACTCTGTTTGCCACAAAGGTAAGGAATCGTTTATCCTCATTCATTATATATTTTAATACAGATGTACTATCTGTCCAAAATATAGATTGCTCGAGTTTCATTCTCAACTGAGCCCTTAACATGAGATCCACTCGGACGGCAACTACAGCAGCTGTTAGTTCCAGACGTGGAATAGTGACAGGTTTTAGAGGTGTTACTCTTGCCTTGCCCATCAAGAACGCGACGTGGATGGATTTCCTATTATCTTGCATGCGCAGATATGACACGGTTCCATATCCAGATTCACCAGCATCTGAAAAATGGTGTAGCTGTGCATGTGAGAGAGGTCCAAACTCTCTTGGTTGTATACACCTTTTAACCTTGAAATGGGAAAGCATTTGCAAATCACTGAGCCAACCTTTCCACTTTTGCAACATGGTTTGGGGTATTGGTTCATCCCATCCCAGTTTCCTTTTGCAAAGCTCCTGCTGCATTCCTTTGGCAGGCAGCAGGACTGGTGCAAGAAATCCCAATGGATCGTAAATGGAACTTGATATTGATAACATTCCACGCCTAGTACAGGATTTTTGAGGGATATCCATTTTGAAGTTGAATGTATCAGTTTCCACGCACCACTGCAAGCCCAGAGCTCTTTCTACCGGAAGTTTGTCTCTGTCAAGATTTAATTCTTTCAAGTCTTTAGCCCTTTGCTCCTCAGAGATACTTTGCAACAGGGTGCGATTGTTACTGACCCACTTGGTCAGTGTAAATCCTCCCCTTTGACTGTGCTGAAAGATCTTTGACCAAATCGACAGCATCTGAGGTGGAGGCCACACTCTTTAAACAGTCGTCCACATAGAAGTTCTCTTTCAGCGTTTCACATACCTTGTCTAGGAATTCAGTCTTATTGTCCTCAGCTGTTTTTCTCAAAGCGAAACTGGCGCAGCTAGGGGAAGATACTGCACCGAACAGATGAACAGTCATGCGAAACTCAATTATGTCCTTGCTCAGATCTCCATCTGGCCACCATAAAAAACGCAGAAAGTCTCTGTCTTCTTTGGCAACTTTAACTTGATAAAACATTGCCTTTATGTCACCCATAAATGCGACTGGATCCTGTCGAAATCTAAGCAAAACCCCAAGCAATGTGCTTGTGAGATTAGGACCTTGTAAGAGCTGCTTGTTTAATGATGTCCCCTGGAATGATGCCCCACAGTCAAATACAATTCTTATGGATCGTTTTCTGGGATGGTAAACTGCGTGATGAGGAATGTACCACTTCTTTCCATTTTCGCAAGACAGCTGCTGTGAAGGTATTTGCTCTGCATATCCATTACTTATTATCTCATCCATAAAGTTTTTATATTCTTTATGCAACTGTTCATTGTTGAGAAGTTTTCGTTGTAGACTTTGCAATCTTTGTTTAACTATGGAGAAATTGTTTGGCATCTTTATGTTATCCTTTTTAAAAGGTAACTTCAAACAGTAGTGTCCGTCTTCCATTGTTGCAGATTTTTCCATGATCTTCATGAACTTAAGGTCCTCCCTTGACAAACCCTTTTCCTCTGTAACCCTTTCATTAAAGTCATAGTTATATTGACTTTTCAGCATCTCCTCCAGCTTACAAACAGATATCCTATTTACAACTGTTGGTGGGTGCTCGCTGTCCAAGTTGCTTTTACCATCTTCCATGGGCCCATTTATGACCCAGCCCAATGCTGTTCTTATAGCATATGGGCCATTCCCCTGGCTATGAATGACCTCCCATGGTTCCAATAACTTGGGAGCGTTGCATCCAATCAGCAGGTCCACATTAGCCATTATGTGGGGAATTTGAACCTTTGACAGATATGGCCACCTGATCAGATCTTCTTCCTTTACAAAGTTATCCATGGTGACAGGCATCCTTTCCTGTGTTAGGATTTCTGGAAGTTCATAGAAGGCATTGCTGCCTAAACCAGAAACTTCAAGACCAGTAAGTGAGTGGGCAGAGACGACCTTTTCTTGACCCATCGTTTGTAACAGGAAGTGAGTTCTTTTGCCCACAAGATTTAGCTTTTGCATGAGGTGCTCTGAACAGAAGCTAGCTGAACTGCCAGGATCTAAAAAAGCACATGTCTGTATGACATGACTACCTTTAACAGACTTTATTTGAACTGGCAGAATGGAAAGCAAACCGCTTTCTCTTCCGGCCCCTGTATGACCACAAGTTTTTACATTCTTTGAAGAGGATGGCTCTCCATAGCATTCAGGGCTTACACCATCGTTATCAATATGGAGGACAGTGGGATGACCTTTACCACACGTTCTACATATCAAACGCTTAGCACAGTCCTTGCTTATGTGCCCAGCACCTAAGCAACCAAAACACAGCCCTTTCTCCTTTAGAAAAAGCATTTTGTCTCTGTGCTTCTTCCGCTGAAACTGTTGACACTCCTCCAGTGTGTGTCGTTGAGTACAGCAGACACAAGATGGCTTTACTGTAAAGTCATGGCTTGTTGTAGTAATCAGCCTTTCCGTGCTGTAGGTTTTATTCATGTTCATGGGTGTGGCTGTAGCAGCAAAGC